ACGCCAGCAGTCAGTAGAAGTTGGGCCAACTACTGACGAGACTGCCTGCTCGCCCAACCACACCGACCCTCACCGAGTCATAGTACCGATTCACGCCATCGATCGGGCTCGGATGAATAAGGAGGGTACAGCGACGGATTGCCCGGTACTGATCTACGGGAAAATACAGGGAGCAGCAGTGAAAATCTTCATTGACGGAGGAGCAAGTCACAGCTTAGTTAATACTGCAACCGCACGGAAATTACAGTTAACACTTAACCGATGTTTACCTGAGATAGATGCACGCTTAGTCGACGGCACGCCATTGGCCATACGAGAAAAGGTGGAGCGAGTAAAAGTCCGCTGCGGGGGAAACTTCGGGTTTACACAGGAAATGCTCGCAACGACGCTGGATGGGCACGACATTTTACTGGGACGTGATTGGCTGCGACGGTACAACCCACGGATCGACTGGACGACGGGGAGCTGCACAGTGCGAAGTAGCGGTAACTGGGTCGTCCTACCTCGCTGGCGGCCACCCGAATCTTCGACAGTCCAGGTCAACGCCATCGCGATGAAACGGGCTGTCGCTGCTGGAGCTGACGTGTACGCAGTGGATATCGCAGTGGTAGAAAAAGACGAGCAGCAGAACGATTTACAGAAACTGCTAGCCGCCGTACCGACCGAATTACAAGCACTACTGAAACGGTTCCCGGGGATATTTCCGGATGATTTACCACAGGGACTGCCACCTCAGCGAGCGCACGACCATAGGATCGAGCTAGAACCGGGGGCACAGCCAACAGTACAGCGGCAATTTCGACTGACCCAGCCCGAGCTCGACGAGTTAAGGAAGCAGTTAGATTACCTGTTAGAGAAGCAGTTTATTCGACCGAGCTCGTCACCGTTCGCCGCACCCATACTGTTCACACCGAAAAAAGACGGAGGTTTTCGCATGTGCATCGACTACCGAGCGCTTAACCGAGTAACAGTCAAATCGCGATACCCCATCCCCCGCGCCGACGAACTGATTGACCAACTGCGAACAGCACGTGTCTTTTCGAAAATAGATTTACGAGGAGGTTACCATCAGATTCGCGTCGAACCATCGGACTGCGCAAAGACAGCATTTAGGACTCGGTACGGGTCATTCGAGTATACAGTAATGCCCTTCGGGTTGACGAACGCGCCTGCGACTTTTCAGATGACCATGAACGAGGCATTTAGGCCACTTTTAGATAAATGCGTCATCGTTTACCTAGACGATATCCTCGTTTACAGTCGGGATAAGCAGCAACACTTAGCAGATCTTGAAGCAGTTTTTAAGGTTTTGGAGGAACATCGGCTGCTCACCAAGGGCTCCAAGTGCGAGTTTTTTAGGGATAGGCTAGAGTTTTTAGGTCACGTCATTTCCGAGGCTGGGGTTGAGATTGACCCAAAAAAGCTGGACACGGTAAAAGCGTGGCGCCCCCCGACGAACATCACGGAACTGCAGAGTTTTTTAGGGTTTGTTAATTACGTTCGACGGTTCGTGCCCGACATGGCACGTTTAACCGCCCCACTAACTGATTTACTGCGTAAGGGGGTCGCTTTTACGTGGGGGGAGAAAGAGCATGCTGCCTTCTCTGCCCTAAAAAACGTTCTCTGCTCACCACCCGTCCTACGCATCGCTGATCCCCACCGCCCTTTCGAAGTGGTTACCGACGTAAGTGACATCGCCATCGGAGCTGTACTGTTACAGGACTTCGGCAACGGCCTCCAACCCATCGCCTACGAATCACGAAAACTACATCCGCCTGAGCGAAATTATCCGATACACGACCGCGAAATGCTCGCGATCGTGCATGCATTCAAAGTTTGGCGCTGCTACTTGACTGGCGCAGACGTGACAGTACGGACAGACCACCGATCTCTACAGTACCTCCGCGCACAGCCCCACCTCAACCCACGACAGATTCGATGGCTCGATTTCCTCGAGTCGAATTTTCACTATACGGTCACATACAAAAAAGGAGCATCGAATATCGCCGACGCACTGACCCGCCCCACTGCCCAGATCCACGCGATACTACTCGCCCAGACCAGCCCACTGCTTACCGGCCTATTTACCCACGGATATCAAACAGACCCATTCTTTACAGGAGGCAACTCACAGCAATTCGCAGCGGCAAAAGGAGTCTATTACGTAAAAACTGGAACCGACCGCATCTGGGTACCGGGATACACGTTACTTCGGGAACTACTGTTACAGGAAGCACACGACGGAATTACCTCGGGACATTTCGGGGTAGAAAAAACACGGCAGCAGCTGCAGCGGTACTACTACTGGCCAGAAATGTTGACTGACGTGCAACGACACGTGGCATCGTGTCCCACTTGCCAGCTCATGAAGACAAGCAGGAAGCGACCAGCGGGGCAATTACAACCCATCCCGCCTCCAGAGCGTGCTTGGCAGCAGGTGACGATGGACTTCGTCACGGGGTTACCAGCTGGGGCGAGTGGGAATGACGCGATCCTGGTCGTCGTCGATCGACTGACGAAAATGGCACATTTCGCAGCTTGCAGGAAATCCATCACAGCCGAGGAAACCGCCCGACTATTCATCTCCACCGTCGTACGCCTGCACGGGATACCCGCGTCGATCATCAGCGACAGGGACACGAAATTCACCAGCAACTTCTGGCGGAACCTGTGGCAGCAGTTCGGCACGCGCTTACAGTTCAGTTCATCCTATCACCCCGAAACCGACGGACAGACGGAACGGACAAATCAGACCATGGAGCAGCTGATTCGAGCCACGTGCGACGACCCGAATACGTGGGAACAGCAACTGCCACTCATTGAGTTCGCATACAATAACGCACCATCAGCCACGACGCAACAGTCGCCGTTTTATCTAAATTACGGACAGGACCCAACAGTACCCATGACACCGAATCCCGACAACCCCGTCCCACGAGCACAACAGTTCGCCGAGATTCTGCAGGCAGCACGGACCAGGGCAGCAGAAGCAATAAAAAAATCAAACATCATCGCTAAACGCAACGCCGATCGACATCGCAGACCCGTTACTTATCAGCCCGACGACCTCGTTCTACTCGACACTCAGAACCTTCGCCTGCCCATCACTCCAAAACTTCGCCCCCGATATTGTGGTCCATTTCGCATCAGCCACATGATCACACCCGTCACCGCCCACCTCCTCCTCCCCGCTGACTGGTACGTCAGCCCGTCATTCCACGTCAGCCTACTTCGCCCTTACATCCCATCCACGAGCCAACTGCCACGAAATCGCCCAGCCAGCATGACACGTCCCCCAACCGAACCACTCATCACCCCTGACAAAATCCTCAGCCACCGCGTCCGCGACCCTCGGGGAGCCCGAAGGATCGAGTTCCTAATTCGCTGGAAGGACCGAACGCCCACAGAAGACAACTGGGTCCCCCTGGATAAAATTGAGAACCACCCCGTCTTCACCGAGTATCTGCGAAGCCGAAATTTCCGCGACGTCCATGCGCTCTCGTAAGAGGGGCCTCCTTGGGGAGGGGGTAAGTGTAAGGAAATTCCCTTTTCCTTACTTCGCGTCCCTGCCCAGCGCGTACGTCACTGTAGCACCTCAGTCAGCACCGTTACCACTCGCGACCATCGCATCATTCATCATCCCGCCTTTTTCGCACATCGCATCCCGACCTCACGGCTCGGCTGGTAACCCGTGCTCCGGGCCTACGCTTCGACACTTTCCCAACCTCAGTCCCAGGCTTGACGCGCGACAACCACAGTCCATTACCGTTACCACTATTGTTTCGCTATATAATCCTTCGCTCATGCCTTCGCTCATTGTACTTTTGCTTCGATAGTGCAATTCTCGTTCGTTCACTCAATTGCACACGTAACAGTTAATAACCTATTACAACGAAGCAACATGTCGAGATGGCCTAGTTGGTCTAAACCGCTCTGCAAGGACTCTTTGTACATACTGTAAATACTATAATTATTTACCTAGGAATATTGTAAATAAATTATATTCGAATGCGCTGTATGAAGGTTCCAGTCCGAAATGACTTGGGTTCAAAGCCTACTCTAGTAATGTTTTCGCCAATGTGTTGCAGCTGCGGATTATGATGTAGATGGTGACTACCTTAGCGTATATTGTACACTCGAAGCTACCAAGTGGACTCACTGCTGTAGCGAAGCCAGCTTCAGAAGATTCTGTCAGCACCATCCGTTTTTTATTGGATCCCCAGCCACACGTCAGCCTGTCACTCCCCTGTCCATCCAATTAGAGTTAATTCTCCCACGAATCCCAAGGCTGCCCGAGACACCTTTCCTTCTCCACAGGAGGAGCAAATTTTCCTATCCATGGGAACAGAAAAGTGCGTGCGTGGCTGGATAATTATCCACAACAGCAGTTCCCACCACCACCACCTCGCTGCCTTTACCTTTCCACTTCCACCCGGATCAGCCGTCTGCGATTGGTCGATCGGCAAACTGTGCCAGGACGGAGGGAATGAAGATCCCTAGGAGGCTTTTCGAGATGCTCCTAGCCTGCTGCTAGCCGCTAATCTCGAGAGTGAGAATTTCCCTTGGGCTTTCCTTCTGCATTTTCTCTGAGATATCCGGGGATTTCATTCAGTTTCCATCCAGAAAATAGTATTTTCACAAGCGAGTGCGTGGCTCTCTCTTCGCTCGTGTCGTGAAACCTCGTTTCCCTTGCAGATCTCGAAGTCTATTTATTGGTCCTATTTTCCTCCGTCAGTTCAGTGTGAGTTGGTTTTACCTGGCCAGAAATCCATTGTTGGTAGCCTCCGACAATGGAGACGAGCTGCATCTCCAGGTTATCTGCATCAGGACTCTTCCCGAGTCAGTGTCCTGTTCCATCTGCTAACAAAGCGTTAGAGTCGAGAACTCTCAGGACGCAGGCTACGCTACGGAATGTAAGCGTCTCTAAGTTGGCTGGCCCTGCGAGGCCGAATCCAGGTCCACGTGGCATGTCTCCGTCTGCAAAAGGTCACTGTAGGATTATGGCCGTCCAGTCTTCGCCTCTAGATGTCACCGCCAAAGATGCGAGCCCCCCCCAGCCGTTCGGTGCTCTAAGATCAACGGTGGCCACTGCTGTAGCGGCTGTTGTATCTGCTGCTGCGGCATTCCGGGACGCGGCAGAAGCAGTTCCGATAAGCGTACAAGAAGCCGCTCAGCAAAGACACGTGGAGGAGGAACGGTTAGAAACGTCGTTTTTCGACGGCGTGCGAAGCAGAGCGTCACCCTCGCTATTGTCACTCGCTGCCATGTCAGCAGCGCCGCTGGCCATCCCCATCAAGAGCTCTCTGACCGCCTTCTTCTCCAACCTTCGTGCGAACCCCACCTTCATGTCGGCTCTTATTGCGTGGGCTCTCGCGCAAATCCTCAAGGTAAGCCGCAATGTTCGTTAAGCCTTGAAGCTTGGTGAGCCTCAAATATTGTGAAGCCGCGAAGCTCATTGATGCATTATTCAGCAATGTCCATGTTCCCACAAGCTCATGTTTCATGCCGTAATGAATGACACGGAAGAAGGCAGACATTTAAAACGAGTGGTAACAACCTGATTCGTTTCTCCCGCCATAAGTGAAAAATAAAACATTTTTGGCCACCACCTCTCCCTCCCACCTTCTTTTCACCCTTTCCACGTCCGCTCTTTTCCCGGAATCCTTCCATTCCTCCCCATTCACCTGCTCCAGGTGTTCACGAACCTCTACTTCAAAAAGACGTTCGACATCCGAATGGTTGTGTCGTCAGGCGGCATGCCGTCGTCGCACACCGCCCTCTGCGTCGCCGTCACCACCTCCGTTGCCCTGCTGCATGGCGTGGGGGGCCCGCTGTTCCCCATCTGTCTCGCGTTCTCCTCCATTATCATGTACGACGCCACCAACGTACGCTACCACGCCGGCGTGCAAGCAGAGGTACGAGCTTCACTCGATGTGCAAAGTTTACAGCAGCAGAGGTGTGTGCCAGAGGGGTGGGTAGAGTTGCATTGCATGCTCTTTATTGCTGCTGCAGAGCAGACCGCATCTGCCCCGTGTTCTCGCTCATCATAATGTATAACACCAACAACGCGGGTTCTAAGCAGAGGTACGCTCCTTGCTCCTTCACAGCAGACCCTTTATCTGCCCCGCGTTCTCGCTCAGCATTATGTACGACGCCACCAACGTGCGCTACCACGCCGGCGTGCAAGCAGAGGTACGCACTTCAACCAATGTGCAAAATTTACAGCAGCAGAGATGTGTGCCAGGCGGGTGGGTGGTGTTGCATTCCATGCTCTGTATTGCTGCTGCACAGCAGACCCCATCTGCCTCGCGTTCTCGCTCATCATCATGTATAACGCCGACCACGGGGGAGTGCAAGCAGAGGTACGCTTTTTACTGCTGCTGCAGAGCAGAATCAGTACTGTGTAAATATAACCGTACTCAGTGATGTTAACTGACGCAGCAGCAGAGATGGGTGTCAGGTGGGTGGGTGGTGTTGCATGCACCACCGGTATTGTTCCTGCAGGGTGGAGTGACAAAATCACATACGTGAACTCTCAGCAAGACAGAAGGGAATTGAAATCACGTTCCTTATGAAGAGTTGAAGAGTTGGCTTTGGAGATTTCAGCAGATGACCGAAAACTGATCATCAAACACAGTGCTTGACAAAACCAGGAGCAGCCTCCTTGGATTGACCAGGAACAACATGCCAGTTCTCACGTACATTTTGTTTTTCCATCTATCGTTTTGATTCATCCATTGCCTCTTTTTGTGTCTGTTTCCCAGGTTCTGAATGTGGTGGTGGAAGAGATGCTGGAGGGCCATCCAATCAGCGAGAAGAAGCTAAAGGAGCTCCTGGGGCACACCCCCTTGCAGGTGGTTGGAGGCTTCATCCTTGGTGTTGTTACAGCCTTTGTATACCATTACAAGACAGGACAAATGTATGGGTGGGCGTGAGATAGGTAACGAAACTGTGGATAGTATGGGGGATGAAAATGTGAGATACGTCCTTCACATCCAGAAATAATTGGGTTATACCTAGTGCTTTCACGGCTTGCTTTTGTGTGTGAACTAGTTTGTGCTTTCCAGCCAGTGCCACTCCTTATGTTCAATGTTAGTAACTGATGTGTCTACATAGATCAAGTATTGTGTAAGAAAGCAAACGAGTTGAATGCACTAGCTCGATTCGGAACAGCCACGTCTCTTGTTTCTCGCACGTTCTTGTAGCACTAGAAGCATCATACCTTGCACAACGGGATTGTCGACACGTGGAGATTCGCTTCACGAGCCAACCACATCTGACGGCAAAAAAAATTCACAGTCGCAGCAGCAGACCAGTATTTCCAGACCCGCGCCGCTTCAAGCTTTTACGCGATTCGGAAATGGGAAATCTCTACATGTCTCTGGCTCGGGGTTCTCTTCTCTGATGGGGCAGAACATTCCCTAAGCCAAACCTTTCCCAACCCAAGCCAACCAGAACCATTTCTTCCAAACCATACCGAACCGATGTCTGACCAACTACAACAAATCCACACATGGTAGCTACTGCAGTTGCTTGAATTGAACCCATTTTTGTCATGACATGGCACCTTCACAGCATACCCATTCATTCCGTAAACCCTGGCATCGTTCCCGCCACGTCCGGCACGTGCGGTGGTACAGTGCGACACGCTCCTGCACTCCCTCCGTAATGGCTGTTAGTCCACGTGGAAGTTGCCTGTTCTGACCTATGGATGGTCGCGACGGGAGTTCCCAAAACGTAGCGCGTCGCAACCAATCAATCACGCCGAATTTCACAGCCAGCTGGCGTGGCGTGCAATACAATCACTCGTATCGGATCGCTGCAAGCGTCATGACGCTATGATGGAGGGCAATTCCATGTCCTTATCAGTGCCGTAGTTCTGTTGACTATCGAATTAACTCAGAAACAGAGAAGTTAGGATGGATTGGTGATTTCAGTAGTAATTCATCTGCATTTCCAAGATAGCACTATCCTACTATATTCCTGTTTTGTTAAATGCCGCTCCTGTCTGTTGCTAGTACATTTCAGCACACCAGCTCGTTCCTCTACAAGCAACCGGTTACTATGACGCGTAACCGGCAGCGTTTCGTAGTAATGCTGACGGCCGCCGTCAGCGCCGTCGCTCTCGCATCTCTCCTCCTGCCAGTAACGTCGGAATCTTCTCAGAATACGAATCAGCCGCAACAGCCGCCGCAGCAGGCGCCGCGATGGACGCCGCGTGAGCCGGCGCAATGGACGGCGTGCAACTACTCCACGGGGTGGTGGATCCGCAAGCCGCCATCAGCGCCATCGGCGCCGTATCGGTCCACGTGCCCGTTTCTCCAGGTGGGGAGTTTACCTTGAATCGAGTAAAAAGTCAACTCGGGGTGGTGTTTCCGCAAGCCGCCATTGCGCCTTCTGCGCCATCTGCGCCTTCTGCGCCTTCTGCGCCATCTGCGCCTTCTGCGCCATCTGCGCCTTCTGCGCCATCTGCGCCATCGGTCGACGTGCCCCTTCCTCCAGGTGGGGAGGAGTTGTACGACTCATAACAACGCCATTCGCGGCGACGGCACACGTGGCACACGTGGCACCCATATCATCTGTATCAGAGAACGCACTGTACGAATGTCACGGCCGTACAAGGTCAAGGGTCGTACGTCTGAGCACCTCGCGGTTCCCGTGGTAGCAAGCTATCCGCATTGCGCCTCCCCTCCAGACTCCCCACCCACCCTCCCCTCCTCCTTTCCTTGCCCTCCTCATCCCCGCCCCCCTCGCACCGCACCCATCTCCCTCCCTCTACCACGCTCACTCCACCTCCCTCTCCCCCATCTCCCGTCTGCCTCCCCCCATTTCCCTCCCCCCGATTTCCCTTCCCCCCATCTCCCTCTCTCCACAATCTCCCCCCACCTCCCACCGCTGCATTTCCATCGGACGTGGGACCCGTGAATTGCATCAACCGCCACCAGCTTTCCTCCCCTCTCCCCACTCCCCCCATCTTCACCCCCCCGATCTCCCTCCCCCCACCGCTGCATTTCCATCAGGACGTGGGACCCGTGACTTGCATCAACCGCCACCTCTCCCCTCTCCCCTCTCCCCTCTCCCTTCCCCCTCTCCCCTCTTCCCCACCTCTCTCCCCCTCCCCGCTCCTCTCCCCACCTCCCACCTCTGCATGCATTTCCATCAGGATGTGGGACCCGTGAATTGCATCAACCAACACTGCCTCCCGTCCCATTCAACCAGCCTCCGGGTTCCCCCTCGCCTGCTTTCCGTTCCCCTCTCCCCTCTTTTTCCACCTCCGCAACTCCATCAGGACGTGGGACCCGTGAATTGTATCAACCGTGCCCTACGGCCCTCGCTCTCCTGGCTGGTAAGACCAATCTCTCCACGTGCCACGGGCCTCAGCATATGGTTTCTGTGTTGACTCACAAGTCACCTGCTTTCAACCTTTCCCCCTTCAACCTTTCCCCCGATTCAATCCCTCCCCCTCCTTCTTCAACACTCTCCCCCTTCCACTTCCGCCCTTCCTAGGGGTATCATTGGCAGCCTGCTTCCAACCTTTCCCCCTCTTCAATCCCTCCCCCTCCTAGGGGTATCACTGGCGGCCTGCCACGTGTCAAGTGCCAGCGTACGGTTTCAGGCCATACCACTTCCTGAAGATGATGCGGAACAGGTTAGATGACCCGGAACAGCTGAGTTGATACGGAACAGGTTAGGGAGGTACGCGAGGGACGACTGAGATGACACGCCAGGGTCTAGTGTTCAGCCAAACTAGCACTGATTTTTTTTTTTTTTTTTTTTTTAACCGATTTATGTTATTCCTATTGCCTACTAGAAAATCTATGTCTTTTCTTGTCGTATGCATCAACCTATCCTGCGTGCGCCAATTCTGTTTCCATCAACCCTCGCGCCTGTCTGCTGCCTTACTTCCCCTCTGCTCCCATGTGGCTCCATATATGTCACTCTCCTTCCCACTTCTGACTGTATCATGTGCACGGGACTGTATCGTGTAAACGTGACTATATCGTGCAAACGTGACTGTATCCTGTAAATGTGACTGTATCCAGGGTGATAGCATCGGTGGGCGATTCTCTCTCCTATCAGAATCTCATGCCATCGCTGCTGTGTCACATCCACGGCGCCTCACCTGTCACCGAGATTCCCAATGATGGTTCGCTGGCCATACAGCACAAACGGAGCAGAGTATATCGAGTAGAGGTGTACAATGTCACCCTTATAAACACGTGGAGCACGTTTCTTAATGAGTACTGGCAAGATGAGCAGGTGGGCAGCCCGTGTGTTTATCCATCTACTAACTATATCATTGTAAACATGTCGCTTACATAAGCATGATGCTTACATTAGTATGATGCTTACATAAGCATGATGCTTCCATAAGCATGTCACTTACCACCTCCCACCCCTTATTTCCGACCTCCCACACCTGCAGACCCTCTCGCGCTACAGTAGCGGCAAGAATCGCACGGACGAAGATTCGGTGATCAATCTGGATGGCGTCGATCCGGCGCTTACCGCCCGGGTGACTAAATACGACGTGCTTATACTGCAGACCGCGGCGCACTGGCAAGCCAAGCCCAACAAATGGCGGCGGTACTTTGTGGATGGGCAGGGGAGGCTGGTGTTCACTGAACGGCAGTATATTGCTGCCTTCGAGTGAGTGGTGTCGAGGATTGGGAAGCAGGCCAAGGCAGTGCAGGGCTGGGCAGGGTTCTCTTGTTGCAACACTGGTGGTACTTTGTGGATGGGTAGGGGAGGCTGGTGTTCACTGAACGGCAGTACATTGCTGCTTTTGAGTAAGTGCATCTTCGCCATTTTAAGCGCCTCAAAAATAGAACAGAGTAAGTGCGAATCCGCATGCCTCATTCTTTCGAACTTTTAGGTAAATCTCATAGAATCACTCCATGTATGCTGCCCTCTGCGACCCCCCTCCCCGCCCCCCCCTCGCACACTGTCCCCTCTGCTCCCACCCCCCCCCTTGTCCCTCCCCCTGCTTCCCTCAAAGACAAGGGAACTCCCTTGCCTGTCCCTCCCTTTTCCTTTTCCTTTTCATTAGCAACCCTGCTGAACCGCACCGAACCTGACATGCTTGCCTGATCCCATGCCTCTCCTTTCCCCCTTCATCAGGCCTAGTAACCAGGCGATAGTGACTTTGTTGCACTTAAGCGACCCTGACACCTCCCCTGCTGCTCGCACGCCCGTGCCCTTCTTCCGGTCTGCTCCCGCCCCTTCTTTCTCTCCACCCCCTTAACCAACAGGAGGGGTATGCGGGCGATAGTGAATTTGCTGAGCCAAAGCGACCCTGACACCCCCCTTGCTGCACGAACGCCCGTGCCCTTCTTTCTGTCTGCTCCTGCCAAAATCAACCGCTGCAAAAGCCACTCGCAGCCCCTCACGCATGCCCAGGTAGGTTCAGTGCGGTGGATGCTTTGTAGTATGGAGCAACAGTGCGGTGTGATGCAATGTGATTCCGTGGGGTGCTGTGCGGTGATGTGTAGTACACTGTAAGATGGCTCACAAGCACCACCACAACAACTGCTTGTCTTTTCCTCTTGTTGATTTTTCATATCTTTCCTTCCACACACCCTTCTCCCCCCAACCCTCGCTGCCACCTCAGGTTCTTCAGACTCGTTATAAGATTCCTCAGTACACTCGGTGGTTACCTGCACAACAGCGCGCAGTAGCAGGCACGAGAATCCGCCTTCTAGACGTCACCTCCTCCTCTCTCTACCGCCCGGACTCCTTTGTGGGCTCTGGAGGGGTGAACAACGATTGTGTGCATTTCTGCCTGCCTGGTGTGCCTGACTCATGGGTTGACATGCTGCATAATATGTTATCTAGACAAGCTATTTTCCGGGTCCCTAAGGGTGCTCCAGTCCAGTAGTGTAGTCTCGTCTCACAGAGGGACTGGAGGGGTGAATGACGACTGCATTTATGCCTGCCTGTGTGCCCGACTCGTGGGTTCACATGCTGCATAATCTGTTCTCTAGGCAAGCTATTTTTTGGGTTCCTAAGGGTGCTCCGCTAGTGTAGTTACTGTGTTAGGACGATGTCCACTGGCATGTATTCAAAGCGAGACCAGTTTATCCATTATGCATATAATAAATAATAAGGGATTGCCTGGCTAAATGTCACCGTTTGTGTGGGTATGATCTTGCACTTCACGTGGAGGCCGCCGCTGCGACCTTTTAAAGAGTAAAAACGCGAGTGAGACAGCAAAAACTGCAGCCACCACAGGCCAGGTGAAGCTAGGAAAAAGCTGGAAAGGATGACCGTAACGCGATTTGCTGGAGGGATGAAGAGTAAGTGGTTCGGCAGTGAGGGGCGGGGGGGGGTTAGGAGGACGAGAAGAGACATGTACTTGCGTGGGAGGAGGTTTAGAGGTCGAAGGTGGAGGATTAAGGGGAGAAGAGGAAGGAGCAGGGGGAGAAGGTGGGGAGGGAGGGCGGAGACGGTGCAAGTGTCTTAAGAGAATGACGAGGGCAGCAGCAACTTCTGCTAGGAGGAAGAGGAGGATGAGAGGGAGTGGGTTAAAGGGTGGTTTGCTGCTCCCATTCCCACTCTCCTCGTTGCCACCACCACCACCACTGCGACCGCTGGAGTTATCACCACCACCACTACTGCCACTGTGGTTACCACCACTACCAGAAACTTCACGATTCGCATCACCCGCACCCATGCCATCACCGCTGCCAGCATTGCCAACTCGTGCACGTCCCGTGCGTGAACCCACACAGAGCCAGCATGCGTGGAAGGGCGGTGCTGTGACAACTGCTAGCCGGTTGCTCTGATGGTAGAAACGGGAGCACGCCGGATCCCCGTTTAAAGCAGCAGGAGAGTGAACGGTCGGTGCAGGTCGTGCAGAGTATGTACTCTCTATAGCGCGTACATCCCTTCCAAGGAGCAGGTATTCCCTGTGCTTCATATTACGGGATTTTCCACGTGGCGAAAGGTCGTAGGCGTGCGACAGCCAGCCTGACGACTCGGGGCGCCCTTTGGAGCATCGGGATTGCCGATTGGTCAGGGAGATTAACTCCGGTATGGCAATATCGCGGCATGCTGCTGCTGCTGTTGCTGCTGCTGCATGCGCTGCCATCATTATAAATATCGGTCTATTTTACTCGGGCAATAGATTGGCCACTGTGAGTTTAGGGCAAGCGCTCCAGTGAAGATGCTTCAGGAATGAAGTTACGGAACCCAATGAGAATGTATTATAGCCCTTGGAATAGTCCGAAACGATTCCGAGCGATAGAAATAATCGCCGGTCCGGGATCCACAGCTTGCGCTGACGTGGCATCTTAGCCGCGATGCTGGTGGCCTGGTTAGAGACACGCGGAGCGCCGCGCTTCCGTGAGCCTTGGGAGTACCGACGTGTGTTCGTAGAGCCATGGCGGGTACTAATGTCTAGACACTAAGTAGCGTTGCGGGATTGGACGGACGCGGAGGTGCGCAAGAGGAAAACTGGATTGCGAGAAGCGCGGCGTCTTTGACGGCAGGTGGCTTGTTTAGGAGACGAAACAGTACGAAATGGCTGTTCTGTTCGCTCGGTGACGAATTCATTAGTGTGTACTCGATATTGCGGGGCTCGTGTTGGGTAAGAGTTTTTTTGCAGTACAAGAGACAAAGCGGTACAGATAGCGTCCTGAAGTTACCTCAGTGTCCTGATAGTGTCCCATCCACGCATCCCTCCTTTTTTGTCACCTCAGGTTCTTAAAACTCGTTATAAGATTCATCAGTACACTCGGGGTTACCCGCACAACAGCGCGCAGTAGCAGGCACTCGACTTCACCTTCTACACCTCACTTCGTCCTCTCTCTACCAGGCCTCATGTTTTCAGAGTAAATTACTCTGTTTCTCTGAAAATCTTAGTCATTTTTGAAAGTCACTCTGTACCCGCTGGGTAATTTTTTTGGGACTTCCGATTTCTCTGACCCGTCAGAGCTACGCTGTAGTCCACTCTGAGGCCCATGGGTTTTCTTTTCGGGGACCGAATTTACTCTGTATAGGGAATACCTGCCGGCTGTCAAATATTATAGCCAGTAGTGGGTTGGGCTATATGGGGTACAACTAGTTAGGGTTAGGTTATGTACCCCAATTCTGTCAATACAACGCATTCCGCTGTAGTTCTCATTCTAACATGGTATCAGCAGTAGGTTAGCGCTCCTAGTCCTAGGCCCGCCCTTCCCTACCACTAGGGTTACCACTGCGCCCTGCCAGCCAGCCAGCGCGCCAGCCCGCCAGCGCGCCAGCCAGCCAGCCAGCGCGCCAGCCAGCCAGCGCGCCAGTGCGCCAGCGCGCCAGTGCGCCAGCCAGCCAGCGCGCCAGCAGCCTGCGCGCCAGCCAGCCAGCCAGCGCGCCAGCCAGCCAGCGCGCCAGCAGCCAGCACGCCAGCCAACCAGCGCGCCAGCCCGCCAGCAGCCAGCACGCCAGCCAACCAGCGCGCCAGCCCGCCAGCGCGCCAGCCAGCCAGCGCGCCAGCGCGCCAGCCAGCCTGCGCGCCAGCCCGCTTGCACGCCAGCCCGCGAGCGCGCCCGCCAGCGGGCGCACCAGCGAGCCCGCCGGCTCGCCTGCTAGCGCGCCCGCCAGCGAGCTCGCCAGCGCGCCCGCCAGCACGCACGCCAGCGCGCCCGCTAGCGCGCCCGCCAGCGCGCCACGCCAGCGGGCCCCGCCAGCGCGCACGCCAGCGCGCCGCGCCCGCCAGCGCGCGCCCTGTTTAGCCGCCCGCCAGCGCGCCGCGCCCGCGCGCCACGCCAGCCAGCGCGCTGCGCCGGAGCGCGCCCCGCCAGCGCGCGCCCCGCCGCCCCGCGCCCAGCCAGTGCGCGCCCCGCCTACGCGCACCCGCCTCGCACTCACCTCCCTCTCCTCCTCCTCTCGCGGCTGGCGGCCGCTATCACTTGTCCTCGCCCCTCATGGCGACGTCTCGCGTGCTCTGTTTCGACCCTGAGGGGCGTGCGATCGACTTTAGTACCTGGCTGACGCAGGCCCAGCGCCACCTTAGGAGCCAGCGCCAGGATGGCGTGCACCTGTTTGCGCATGCGTCCGGTGCTCTGCCCGCCCCGCCGCAGCCTTCACCGCTGCCCACTTCCCCACCGCCTACTTCCGAGCAGGAGGCTGAGTACCAGCGCCGGTTCCTCGCTCGTGACGTGTGGGAGTCTCGTGACGCTGCTGCCTGCCTCGCCCTGACCGACCTTCTCCCGCCAACTGAGGCTGTCCACTTCACTCAGGTCGAGTCTGCTGCAGACCTTTACACTGCTATTGTTGCTCGCTACTCCACTCCCTCCTCTGCCTCCCTCAGCCGCCTCCTCGTCCCCTTTATCTACCCTGACCTCGCCTCCTTTGAGACTGTCGCTGACCTCGCTACCCACCTGCGCTCCCTTGAAGCTCGCTTCAAGGCCGCTTGCACTGAGGAACAGCTTGCCCTTGCGCCCCCCCCCATGTGGCTCACTATTCACTGGTTAGTCACTCGCCTCCCTGACCGTCTAGCCACAGCCCGCGACGCGCTTCTCCTGAAGCACCCCACTGAGCTTACTATCGATCTTCTTGAGACCGCTCTCTCGAAGATCGAGAGTAACCTCCTCGCTGTTGCCTCCGCCTCTTCCGCGCCTCCTCCTCGTCTCTTTGAGGGGTGTGCGGTACCACAGCTTCCCACCTTCACTGCCTCGCTTGCCACTGCCGCGTCTTCTGCCTCTGAGGAGACGGCGGCCGTTTCTGTCTCTGGCGGACAGAAACGTGGCAAGTCCGGCAAGAAGGGAGGGAAGGGCGGCGGGGGTGTTGCGGGTGGCGGCGGTGGCGGTAGTACTAGTGGCGGGGGTGGCGGCGGGGGTGACTCGGGACCTGACGGCTCTCCTCTAGCCGGTGGTGAGGGGTTTTCGCAGCAGCAGCAGCAGCAGACTCCTCCGCAGCTGCCACCGCCTGGACAGCAGCAGCGGCAGGGACAGCAGCAGCAGCGCCAGGGCCAACAGCAGTGTCCGCCTCAGCAGCAGCTCCAGCAGTGGGGCACTCTGCAGCAGTGGGGCACTCAGCAGGAGTGGGGCCCTTCGCAGCAGTGGGCCCCCCCGCAGCAGTGGAGACCTACGGGCCCCCCGAGCACTGGGCGCAGTGGTGCCCCTTCTAGTCGGGGACCCCGCTCGGCCGGCCGCGACGTTGGTCCCTGTGAGTACTGGATCCTAACGGGTCCGCGCAGGGGCACGTACTGCGGCCGCCCCTACCACTCTGCTGCACGCTGCTTCAGCCGTCTTGACGACCTGTACGTCCTGCACCACGGTCCCTCCGCTCCCCCGCCACCGCGCTGGGGACCACTCCTTGCTCGTGGTGTTGCTGTGTTTGATATGTCTATGGATGATGCTAGGTCTTATGCCATGTATGCTGATGTTGAGTATAGTGCTGTCGGATCTGTTTACTTGCCTGTACCTAGCGTAGGATCTTTGCCTGTTGCTAGAGTAGGTGCTGGTGTAGGATCCTGTCTAGCTACTAGTATAGGTGCTCCCTCGGCGGACGCGTCGCTCTCCTTCACACTGGACTCCGGAGCGACGCAGTGCTTCTTCCGCGACAGCACGACTCTTACTCCACTCTCGGCGCCGGTTTCTGTAGCACTGGCCGATCCCTCTTCGGGACCGGTCATTGCGACTCACGCCACTACCCTTCCGGTTCTCTGACCGGCCTCCACGTTCCTACTTTCTCTAGGAACCTGGTTGGTGTGGCTCCTCTGGCGAGACAGCACGTCGGGGTCTGGTTTGAGCCTTCGGGTGACACTGCAGTCTGTGTGGACGGTGACACGTACGCCCCTCTGGCCACTTTTCGTCAGGAGCCGGGCTCTGGTCTGTACACCCTCCACACCGACACCCGTCCGGTTCCCCCGTCCCACCAGGTAGCCAGGTCCAGTCA